CCGTCTTCACTTCACGACTATATTCGTAACAACTGTCAAAACGCCTTATATAAAGATGGTGCCTCGACCCCTCTCAAGCCCACCTGGCTCTGCTCTGATTGGTCGTTACTTAAATTACGATAATAATGACATTTAGTCTAGGAAAAACGTAACTTATAAAGTAAGATCAAATTAAAAGTTATTAGAAGCTTTTACAATATCAATAAACATTAAAAATTGCACACAATGCGTTAAACAGTAATTCAGTTGACAATGGCTACTTAATAACTTCCTACTTTAAATATATTGTTAGCTGAGGGTGGAACTTAAAAATAATGGTAGGGTGATGTCAATATAAGAGACCGCACCCTCATTTTCGGGCCACACTCGCCACCGAACACTGAAGCCAGCGGAAGCTCTGCCCGTTTGACTAGCCAAAATAATTAATCATTTTAACTGATAGTTGATTAAGTTAATGTTGTATTTTTAAATTATTTTAGTGTTAATTACATTTATTCAATTCTGTTAGTTTTCTTATTAATTCAAAAAGTACTGTAGTAGTGTATAAGAGATTGTTGTTTTAATTTTCCCTGCTTCTGATCCTTAAGATCAGAAGTGGAATAGTGAAACTCCCACGTCCTTGTTTGTACATCCTGATACGATGTGTTTCCATTGTTATTTCTTTAATTGGCTAGTCATACGATCAGAAACATATTTTTGGAAATTGTAACTATCCTTGTTTAAAAGGACAAATTAACCCTTAGTTTTCAGTGTTTCGTATAATATACGTAAGTAAGACGTGATGTGACGGTGTGATCAAGTTTTATAATGTCAACTTTGGTGAGTACGTTCCAATTGTTTTCTTCTCCGCTTTAAAATAACAAATAGAAGTTGTATTTGTTAGCTTTTTGTGTAAATTTTAGAATGGCTCAAATTTTAATATTTTGTCGTGTCTACCCAATACCCTTGATCAATTATTTACCGTAACTTGAATGCCCTGCTTGGAATAACGTCAATTTTATGTTTATTTGCTAAACATCTTCTTAATTAATAAAATACGTAAATAATTGCTCCATTTAAATGCTTTAATGGATTTAAATATTAATTTAATGCTCAAATTTTAATAATTTTTTTTAAGCAATTACTCAATAACTTGTCAATTTTTTGTCTACGTTATATTATACGTAACGCAATAATGATACAACGAAAAACGTATTCTAAATATCAAAAAAATGTTTATATTTTTAATAATAGCATAATTTAAAAATAATTTGATTTTTTAAGTTAGAACAATTTAGTTTTTAAAGTATATAACATGATAAATAAGTTGCTATATTTTATTTTTGAAATACAAATTAAAGGTGCCCTAAATAAAATTAATGATCTGTCACAAATTTAACTGCCATAAATCTACCAAATGTGTAAAATTTACAAGTCTTTTTCAGTGGCTTTCTTTTATATTGAAAGCCTAAATCAAAGAGTATATGGTCTATCTACACGAAATGTCACCACCTCAATCCTTGTATAAACTTTTTTTTACCGTCTATCTTATTATCTTTATGTTATACTCTATAATAATCTGTCAAAATCAAAAGTTTCAAACTTATATCAAAAGAAAAACAAAGTTTTATTTGCGTTTGTTTTTAAGTTTTCATATTATAATAGTAATTGACCAGGAAATTTTACATTCACGTCGGTAAATAATAAGAATAAGTTGAAAAAGAAGGTACATTACGAATCTCCTTGTGATTCTGACAATGATTGGACCGATTCTACCGGCGACTCAAAATACTCCGATTCGGATAGGTTGGTTAATTTATTTACGATTTATTAATTTCAGTAGTGAAAAAGTATTATTGCCCTTTGGTTTTATTTTAGTTCGGTTCCAGAATGGGATTCTGACGTAGGTGAAGATGGGGAGTTAGTTTTTATAAAAAATAATGCAAACAACGATGTGAATACTCCACTTTTGGAAAATTGCGAAACTTTTAAGTTAAGAAGTGACTTCAAGAGGGCTTCAACGCGAAGGTCCACTAAAGGTACTGTAGTGTATGCATAAACGTAGTGTTGTTTGTCTCGAGCGTACACGCCATAAGTACATGCCGGAGAGAGGGGACGTCAGTCGATGTCAGACCTTTGAGCCGGCAACACGTGTCGGTACGTGAACGAGCCAAATATAGCACAACGAATGCTACAGGTACGAAAACGTAAATGAACTAATTATTAAAGTTAATTTTAAAGTACCTGAGAGAACCACAGTCTCGAAACTGTTTTACTGTCCTTTGGTTACCTGTGTACTTTTTGTTATAGCTTATTGTATAACTAATTTTATTGTATACATTTCAGGTAGAATTTTCAAATCTTTAAAAAGCCGCAAGGCAAAATATGACAATGCAAGTAGCAAAATTAATGAATTCGAAAGTTCAGTTACCAAATATTCTTTAGAAGATAATAATAAATTTGTTATCATACAGGTAAGAAAACATTCTTAATAAACCACAACTTTGTTTATTTGATAAAGACAATTTTTAATATGTTTTTTTGTTAATATAAATTACAGGTTAGCAAGAATATGATATTTAACAGTGAAAAGAACTGCCAAATAGAGAAATTATTTGGTATGAGTTTAGAGACTCATATGGACGGAAAGACATTAATTGTTGCAAATTTCTTAACAGAAGCTAAAGCAATATACATTCCACGAGTCAAAGTAGGTTATTACCTAGTAAAAATAAATGGAATTGAAGTAAACTCTTACAACATCAATATTATGCTACAAGGAGTAATTGAAGACATTGAAAGTCCAAAACTAACATTTCAAGTAGTAACTGGAGGATTTAATATTGATCTTGTTAAGTTACTAACATTAAAAAATTCTCCGGAAAATTCTCTAACTCAGCTTTTGAAAGATTTGATGTGTTCTGTTCTGTACATATGTTGTAATGATATTGAGTATCAGAGTAATGATAAATGAGTACTTTATTGCTACCCTTGGCCATATAATCAAAACTTTATAATACAAGAGGGGCTTATGTGACACTTAATCATTTGGCCCCTAAATCATTGGGTACTAGTGAACCAGTAGTATCAACTGTCCTTTACAACAATACTTTAATTAATGTCACTTACGCATCTCATTTTAGTGATCTACTTTTACTGGTTGTACCTAACAAGAATTTAGATCTTTTTTGCGCTAAAAAATTAATAGGTTATGTTGTAAAAATCTTGGAATTCCTTTATGGGTCATTAAAATCCTGTTTTACAAAACCTAATAATGTAGATAAGCTAGACGGTTTGTTTTCTCGTATTTTCGTTCATTTATTGTTAATATAATTAAAATAATTTGTCTAAGAACTTTTTTCTTTAAATTTTCAGACGGATGATGTTGAAAATTTTCAAAGGCTGTACACTGTAATCGGAGCATGTCTATACTATTCTGGACACTTGTTAAGTTCACATATATGTGATGAGGACTTAGTAGAAATTAATGCGTATTTAAAATTTAACAGTATATTAAGGCTTAGCACTGAAAAGGAGTTGGACAAACTTGTTATGTGGAAGGAAGTTTTTATCAAAGAACATAGAGGTCAGAATAAAAACGACAGAAATGAGAATAAGTAAACTTGAACTTTTTAATTTTTTTTTTTGTTGTGTTGTCCAATTCTTTTTTTTTTAATGTAGAATACCAGATGGGCGTTGGTTTCTTTTGATCGTTGGTAAGGGTCATTTTATATTAGCCACCCTTATGGAAGCAGGTGGATGTACAGAAGATGTAAGTAATTATTGTTAGTTAATTTTTCTGACTCTAATTTTTCCTTTTTTGTTCTTCTATCAGTCAATCTGTATGGATTCATAACAATGTTGCTTGGCATGTTGTTTACAAACATTGCTTATCAAGGAATATTCTTAAACTTTTTTCTCTTCTATCAATATCTTTGTGTATAAATATTAGTGATTTTCTTTAAATTGTTTGTTTTACAGGCGATAGGTGTAACATCCCCATCTCCATTTTACGTGGAGGAATGTGAAAGCTGTTTGGAACTGCTTTACGAAGTGGGACTGCATAAATATTTGACTACCTGG